GCTTGGCGGTAGATAGCAGTTGGCTTGCATATGCTATAACAGGGTCATGTCTGCATTGGTGCTGCAACAGCATTGCTCCTATGCCGTGCCCAGTAGCGTCAGTGCAAACCTCTGTTGAACCTGATGGATCAAAGTGAGCTAAAATCGGCTGTGTTGTAAGGAGGGTCGTGAGCTGGGAAAAAGATGAGGCTTGATCTAAGCCCCAGGAAAACAGGGCATCCTTCTTCAGGCGGTTTGTGAGCGGGCGTGCAATGAATGCGAAGTCCTTAAGAAAGCGTCGGAAATAGGAGCACAATCCCACAAAACTGCGAACATCCTTTCTAGACTTTGGAACAGAAAAGTCCGTGATGGCGTGAATTTTCTCGGGATCCGGGCGGACTCCTGCGGCATCGACAAGGTGGCCAAGTACGGTTATTTGACGATGAGCGAAGTGGCATTTCGAAGAGTTTAATTGAAGTCGGGCTCGACAAAAAACTTCAAGAATCGCCGATAACGATCGAGATGGGAGTCAAATGTGGGCGAGAAAATAATAACGTTGTCTAAGTAACATAAGCAGGTTGACCATTTGAACCCTAGGAGCAATGCGTCCATCATTCTTTCGAATGTGGCCGGCGCATTGCAGAGACTGAAGGGCATAACTTTGAAATATAAAGACCATCAGAAGTGACGAATCCAGTCTTCTCACGGTCCATCTCATCAACAGCGATCTGCCAATAGCCAGATCAAAGGTCTATAGTGGAAAAATACGTAGCACTGTAAAGGTAGTCTAAGGCATCATCAATTCTAGGCAACGGGTAAACATCTTTCTTTGTAATTTTGTTGAGATGCCAATAATCTACACAAAAGCGCCACGTTCCATCCTTCTTTCTGATCAGGACGACAGGAGAAGCCAAGGGGCTACACGAGGGCTCGATTATATCTTTTGCAAGCATCTTTTCGACTTGCTGTTGTATGACTGTACACTGAAACGCGGAAACACGGTATGGACGTTGGTGAATGAGACTCGCGTCACTGGTATTGATGGGATGGTTAACAACACTAGTTTAGGATGACTGCCAGTTGGGCCTGTTGGTCAAGTTTCATGATGAAACAAGCGCAAAAATGCACACACTCAGAGAAGACACAGACAAGTGCTTACTAGCAACTGAAAATTTTATTTCAAAGCGAACACTAATAAATACATCACACGCATCTACATCGTTCCTGACTTCCCCTGTCATCATCAACAACGTGATATAACAAAATCCCATAATCTATGACACACAACCGGAAACAAACAGGTGTCAAGAACTAAGAAAGAAAAAAGTAAAACAGAAAAAACAAAAAAACACGTAAAACCGAAAGCAAAAAAGGAATAAGGAAAGGAGGGGACAGTTGCGTCAGTCAAGCGTCAGTTCTACTAACAGATGCGGAATTTGCTTTTTCGGACGTCACATAACCCAGTGTTTTTGCTTTTCTTGCTTTTTCTGTTTTACGTGTTTTTTTGTTTTTTCTGTTTTACTTTTTCTTTTCTTAGTTCTTGACACGTGTTTGTTTCCGGTTGTGTGCCATAGATTATGGGACTGCATATTTTGTTATATCCCGTTGTTGATGATGACAGGGTAAGTCGGGAATGACGTACATGCGTGTGATGTATTTACTAGTGTTTGCTTTGAAATAAAATTTTCAGTTGCTTGTAAGCGCTTGTCTGTGTCCTCTCTGAGTGTGTGTATTTTCGCGCTTGTTTCATCATGAACACTAGTTCGGCTTGAGGACGTGCTGGCGAAATCGAAAATGTCACGATAAGACTCAAGGACGTGACGGAGGGCTTCCGCTTGATCAGGAGTGAGGTCTGATGGTACCATGCGGTCAACGTCGACCCCCAATAAATGTTATAGAGTTCTATCACGGTCTGAGCTGCATCAATCATCCACTCTGAAGGGCTCAACCATATTGTCTTGTAGGGCACTGATCTCGGCCAGCGAGATACCTTGGGGAAGAATTCGGGCAGTGAGGGCAAAATTGACAATAGAAAGGCATGTGCAGCTTCCAACAATTGTCAAAATAGTGTACGGAAAAGCAATGCCATGCGTAAGCATCACGGCATGAATTGGTGCAACAATGTACTCACCGTCAGGTACAGGTGGCGTAGAGGAGAGGTCGATGTGTGTAACACAGTTAGGCGGAAGGCATACGAAATCGATGCAGCAAAAATGGCTCTGGGGTGAGTCGGTCGGATCGGAATGTAGAGGCATCTCAAGGTCAAGACAGCCGGCTGAACAGTCTATAAGGGCAGAGTGAGCGCTTAGAAAGTTTATATCTAGAATTATATGATGAGGACAATTTTCCATAATGGTGAAAAGAACAGCGGTGCTTCTATCGGCAATAGTAAGACGGCCAGAGCACATTGCAATAATGGCGGCAGTTCTCTTGTCGGCGACTCGAACAGATCGGTTCAAGGCGGGTGTAACAACTTTCTTTAGTCGGGGACAAAGAACAGCACTCATGATGAACACATGTGCGCCGGTATCAATCAACGCGCGCACAGGTACATTGTCTAAAGTAACGTTCAACAAATTCCGGGTGGTCGGTAATCTTACACGAGAATTTCTTGCAGAGGTCGTTGTCAATGCAGCTCCACCTCCAGAAGCTGCACTGCCTAGTTTTTAGGTCGGGGGCGCTGCGAATAGATCGGAGAGGCAGAGCAGTGTTGGGGGGGCGAACGAGATTGACGGCGAGCAGGTGACGGTGAGCGGGCGTAGCGAGGTCTCGTCAGAGGTGCGGCAGAATCAGAGAATGTGGTCGACATAGGGGAATCAAATGCTGAGGACGACTGGTGGACAGAAGTAGCCTGGAAGGGAGGCCCATAGTGTGCCGGCGAAGCTCAGTGATTGCGGCAGTGCCAAGCGATATGACCGACGTGTCGGCAGTTGAAGCATATGGGCTTGTCGTCCAGTGTACGCAATTCGGACGAATTGAGTTGTCGAAAGTAGTTGGAACCAAAGTGAGGAGCGGAGGGACGACGATAAGAAGGCTCGGCAGTACAGACTGTTTGAACAGGATGTAGGCCGATGTTCGATAATTCTTGACGAACAACGGCTTGTATCAGTGAGATCGTGATCGGTGAAGAATCAGGCGTTGGGAATAGAGTAACTACTGGTTGGGCTGCCTCGACCTCGCGACGAATGATGCGGGTGAAGTTGTCACATTGGGGAACTTGTTAGAAGGCGTCATCGCATGAGGAAGTAGCCTACGTGTTCGGCAGGCGCATGATGACGTGGGTGACGCGGTGGGCTGTAGCCTGTTCTAGACAGCGGCATTCGGTCAGGATTGTGTTGATGCTCGTTACATTATTAGAAACCAGCAGGTTGAAGGCATCGTCAGCAATTCCTTTGAGAACGTGATTAACTTTCACGTCTTTCGACATGCGCCGGTTGACCTTGTTACAAAGCGCCAAAACGTCAAGAATGTATGAGACGTACGATTCAGTAGACGTCTGGGCGCGAGTGGCGAGAGTCTTCTTAGCAGCGAGCTGACGAACAGATGAATCGCCAAAAAGATCACAGATCTTCGTTTTGAAAAGATACCAGCTTGTGATTTCGGCTTCATTGGTTTCGAACCATGTCTGCGGCGTGCCGTTGAGGTATAACACAACATTGGCGAGCATGAGCCAATGTCAGTGCTACCCAGCGGTGGGTAGCACTGACCCGCTCGTACCGGTGCAGCCAGGAGTCAACGTCGATGGTACCATCAGCGGAGAAAGTGCCAGGATCCCGCAGGGGTGGCAAGGTGACATAAGTTGTCGACTCGGCTGGAGAGGCTGATCGTGGTGACTGTCATCAACAAAGGAGAAAAAATCATTCCTAAATACCACTCTGTCTACACATGCCTGAGTGAAGAAACCCGTCAAAATCTGTGACAAAGCTTCAAATGAAGCATGGATGTTCTTAGCTGTGTGTACTTCCTTGTGCCTATCTCAATAAGTTTATTTCCCAAATGTTTAGAATATGTCGCACTGAAATAGATATCAAACACTGTATCAATAACATATAAATTATTGCAGACCAGTTTGGCTTACTATACACTCAACGTAATACAAAAGGACTATTACTTTTGCAGAAGAAAGCTGTCTAATACACTGCCAACACTGGTAACATATCACTGACTTTGACACATTTCTGCAAGCACAGTGTAATTAAAATGATTTTCATATCCTGCATTCATTTTACTCAAGTTCTACATTTAAATCATTTAATCAGTCAACAGCTGTCCTGCAATGCAATAGCCATGTCATGAACACTCGTAATGCAGAAGACTGGCTTATTTCCATTTTGGCACTCACTAAACCAGTTACTAAAATATAACCACCCGTTTATTCTAAACAAACATAAACATTTACTGAACCATGCACTTGGTACTTTACATTGAATATTTTTGAATACCTGAGGCTTACGCATGTCATTGATTTCATAAATTTGCACTCTATTTTTCTCTGTATATACCTGTGTGTGGTAAACTACCATACTTTTCTTTCATTAGATCATGTTGATCCTACTGTTTCATGTAACTACTGCCAGCATTGTGGGTGTAATTTACTTTGACACCACATTTTTTTGTTTGCTTGTTGTATTAACATTTCTTTTTCGTAAATAAATTTGAGTATTTTTTTAGTATTGCTTGTTGTTGAACAGCATTTATAAAAAAAAAAATAATAATTTCCCTATCAAGCTGATATGGGTTTACTCAGATGCTTTGTTTATGCACATAATTTTTTCTGCTGGCTCATCCATGAGCTAAAACTCTTTTCAGCTGCAACTTGCTGTCATGTAATTAGTTGCCTGGGCCACAGCCAAGATGTTTAATTAAGCTTTAGGCCTAAGAGATGATAAAGAATGTAATAAATGCAAGAAATACTGAGAAATGTGTTCTCACTGTTTTCACATCAGCAAACCTGCAATGACATTCCATCACGGTAAGTAATCAAGTGTTTTCAGGGGGTCCGAAATTTGCAGTGGACTTACCTCAGTTATGTGACCAGTTGCCTTAACGAAACGTTCGAACTCTGCGTTGCTGGTCTCGTGTACATCAATGTAGAAGTCATTGACGCCAACTGGCCTTGCTGGGTTCTCGCCATCAGCCACAAAAACAGGCTTGTCCGTTCCCATCTCAAACTGGCCACCACGCACAAGCACCATCTGGTCTGTCCTTGGGTGCTCTGTGCCACCTAAACAAACATGGGTGTCATATTCATGCCCGTTGTGTCACTGATCGTCACAAGTGTCACTGATGTCACCCATTAGATTACTAGGCACCAAAACTTCGCCATCAAAACATTTTACACACCCAATTTCATAAATACAGGCACATTTTCATAGAAACAGTTTGAAATTCAAATGTGAACAATTTAAAAGAAAAACCCATTATTTGACAAGGTTTAGGAAACAAACTCGATTGCACAATAACGCTGCTAGAGTGTTGGCAGGATTCTGCATCTGCAATGCAGCACAATTACTCCAACATTTTTCGTTTAGTGGTGGCTCATACGCAGTAGATCCAGAGAACTATGCAACAATTGGTTGAACAATTCAGAACAGTACACAAGTGCAAATTTGAGCTCAAAGTGTTTCTAAGTAAGGCATATTGTTGGGCTAGTTGGTTATTCAACGTTGAAAAAGGTATAACTGTGTAATGAAGACAGGACAAATGTAGGAACACACACACACAGAACAAAACAAGTGATTTTATTTATGGCAAGCAGGTAAATTTAGAAGGTAAAAAAACACAGTGCACAAAGAGCAGTCGCAATGACACAATAAAAAAACAGGTCTGCATGCGCATCATGTGCGTGGGAGTGACCTGATGTTTCCTTCCAAGAATTCTATTTTGTCCCTCGATAGTGGTATCAAAATAGAATTGACACAGCTATCTCCCTTTTTTGCCATGAAAAATGCCTCAATGACTTCCCTTTTAGTTCTTAACTTAGCCGTTGATAAAAACTTTGTCGTTTCCAGATGAGGCAAACAGCTCTATCGCACCTCCCTAAATGCAGAGCTTGATCGCTGCCTCTGCCGATGCGCGAAGATCCTTTGTGCTCCTGGACAGGCTCATTGAAACATCTGCCTGCTTGGCCTATGCAAAACTTACCACACGAAAGGGGTATTTCGTAGATTACGTCGCAATCGCAAGCGGTAAGTTTCATCTTAAGGTTCTTTTTTTAGCAATCTCCATTCTTTCTTGTCAGAAGTAGCAGACCTTTTTCAGTTTGCAAGGTGCAGAAAGACACGCGTATTACATACCACTGTGTGCTCTTTTTTTAAAAAGAACCCTGACAGCGAAAGCTTTGTTTGCTACTTTTTTACAGTAATTTGTAGCTTAGCATCTGGTAATGCCACAATTGAGTTATAAATCCAATGCATCTTATGATAAATGCTAGCATTGTTAATTCAAAATGATTTTGGATCAGTTTAAAACATCCGTCTAAATATAGTGCTCCACAGCGGGCCAGCGCCCGAGACTACGTGCGCTCAAGCTTCAGTGATGCTGAACGCATTGCTTTCAAATAGGGGGACCCACAGGTGGTAAAGCTTGAAATGATGTGGGTGCTTTAAGTCTGTCCCCCTCTAAACAAGGAAAATGATTACCGGTACGAGCAGACAATACCACCTTGAGAGCACCCCAACAACAGAGCAAGAGGGGTAACGAAAAATAGTTCTCATTTGGTACCAGTCTCTGTTTTGTGTGCATCCCAAAAATGTTCTCCCATGCCGACAATACTCGCTTGACTTCTTACAAGGCGGCCTTTGTCTATGTCAAACCACAGAAAATATCAATTGGAGCTGAATCTTCAGATGAGCACTCACCCCTGCATAAACCAATTCAAGCTATCTTATAGGCAATGCTTGTCACTAATAATCTGTCAGAGGTGCGCCCGCATGCAGGACTCTCAAATAGCACATGCATCTCAAGTTTGCAAATTTGGTGTCAGGGGTCCTTTAGGTTGAGGGACAAACAGTGCAAATAAGGCTTGACAAAAGGTGCCTTTCGGTCCAAAAGTTTTTTGAGAATTTTATCTTTTGAAGCAGGCTTTCATATGTGCTGCAAATCATGTTGTGGACAGCCAGCATAGAGCAGACGTTCAACCTGTTTAGTTAAGCTTGACGAAGCTGTGTGGGCACATGACTTTTGTAAAACAGAAAGGCAGGCTGACATGATGATAGTACCAGGCTCGACCAGCTTTGAATAAGCACTCTTGCAAAGCAGTAAGCTTTTGTTTAACCTTGGATTATATGTCCAACAGACGCGGCCATCAGTGAACTGTAGATTAATTTGTAAGAACTGACTATGGTTGTCATTTGTCAATTCATGTCTGAAAGTCATACCTTTCGCCTCAGAAGAGAAGGTGCTCAAAATGTCAGAGACAACACTGTCAAGGTCATTGCTAAAAGAATCATCTAAGATCTCCAAGAAGTCATCAACCTTACAATAAATATGTAAAACTGGATGCTTAGAAAGTTCACTCTCCAAAGGCTATTAAAGAAGGCCAGAAAAATGTCATATAACACAGGAACCACCTAGGAGCCAATGCAACCACCCTGTTTTTGAACAAAATAGTGTTCATAATGAGGAGTACCCATAGAGCTTCAGTAAAATAGTAGCAGTTCTAAAAAATAAGCACGATATTCTAAATTATATATCGCTAAACTGTTCAACCCTTTCTCTCATGACTTTCAACAATTCATCGCATGGTATAAAGATTCGATAGCAAGAGCTGTTTGCCTCATCTGAAAAATACAAAAATACAAAGTTTTTATCGAAGCCTAGGTCAAGAACGAAAAGGGAAGATATTGAGGCATTTTTTATGACAAAAAGAGCAGATAGCTCTGTCAACTCTCTTTCGATACCGCTATCGAAGCATGAAATAGAATACTTGGAGGGACACATCAGATCACTCCCACGCACACGATGCGCACACACACCTGCTAGCTTTCTTTACTGTGTCATTGCAACTGCTCTTTGCTCACTGTCTTTTGTTACCTTTTAAATTCATCTGCTTTCCATAAATAAAGTCACTTGCAAGTCTTGTACCAGTGTGTTTATGTTCCTTTATTTGTTCTGTCTTCATCACACAGGTAAAACTTTCCAAAAATCCATGCCACTTCAACTACTTGTTGAAGTGCACTACTGTGACACGAAAAGTGTAAAGATGCACATAGGCATAAAATATATCCAGCATAAATAGTGCTGCAGTTCTAACTCAACAATGATTCCAGTGGCCTAAAGAATATGGCCCGAGATATCTCTTCATTCCAGAGAAAATCTCGGCCCATACCAAAGCTTGACATAACACCAGCTCATTGCTTTTAGGAAAAATACTCAGACAGACAAGTGGTGACTATAGAGACATTTATTGAAGCAAATTACGCAGTATTAGAAACAGTACTAATGGTCTTACGACAAAACAAGAAGGCTCAATATTAAACTAAAGAACAAACGAGACAGTTGTCTCTAATTCGGCCTCTACTCATCACATACTTTATTTCCCACTCTGTTAACCCCCGCCACTTCTTGGAGCCAGGCCGTTAGAATGCAGAGTTCCTCAGCCTTTATTTGCATAATGTCATGAGACTTCAAAAGTGCTGGGATCTTTTAATTAGGCAAGATGTAGCTAGCTCTCAAAAAGTGTGTCTGTTGGTGCTGGCTCTTTAGCAAAGAAGCACGTGATTTTTTTCTTTTTTTGGGGGGGGGGGGGCAAGAGCCGCTCTTGCTCTCAACCCATTACATGCAGGTATGTGGCATTACCTCGCCTTCTTAAACAAAAAAAGCAAAACAGACAAAAACAAAAACACATAGCACAACCCCGATGCTATAACATAGGTGCGTGAAGAGATAAAAACAGAAATAGAAAACCCGGATAAAAACAAAGTGAGAAACAGAGAAGATGACAATGAGAAAGAAGTTAACGAACCAACAAGCAAGTTCACCAAATAAATAAAAAACACAGAGACTGGAGAATGATGAAAAATAAATTACGAGCGCACAATGAACAGTTTCTTGCACACAACATAAACTACGTCCGGGTTCGGTCATGTCTTGGTCCATGCCTGAGGTTTTTAGTCTGGGACCACTTCGTAGTTCACATCACTGACACGGCGTAACACTTTGCATGGGCCAAAATGCCGGCTAAGTAGCTCTTCACTGAGGCCTCAGCAGCGAACAAGCGTCTACACCCAAACTTGGTCTCCAGGGTTGTACACCACTTCCCTGTGGCGGTTATTATTGGGTCGTGCATCTGCCTGCTGTTGCTAGCCGATGTGCAGTCATGCGAGCTGTCTAGCTTTCTCGGCACGCTCTGTGAATTCCTTGACATCGTCGCCAACTCGTTATCGTATTGACACAGTAGCATGGAGTCGAGCGTGGTCCGCACTTCATGGCGGTATTATACGCAAAGGTCACGTAAGGCACGATCCTGTCCCATGTTTTGTGCTGTACGTACAATGCGATCATGTCTGCGAGTGTCTTATTCAGCTGCTCGATAAGCCCGTTGGTTTGTGAATGGTATGCAGTTGCCTTTCAATGCCTGGTGTTGCATAGTTAAAAAACTTCATCGATAAGCTGTGCCATGAATGCTGTGCCTCTGTTCGCTATTATGCTAGAAGGTGCACCGTGATGCAACACGACTTGGCACATGAAAAATTACGCTATCTCAGAGGCTGTGGCTTGTGGGATTACCTGTGTCTCCGCGTGGCATGTTAAATATTTGGTCGCTATGATCACCCATTTGTTGCTGTCAGCAGACAGAGAAAATGGTCTGAGAACGACCATGCCGACTTGGCTGAATGGCGCTTCAATTGGCTGAAATAAGTCAGCCGGCTTAAGAGATGGTTGCTTTTGGCACTAGTATTCCTGACAGCCTTTGACATCCTGTTTGATGCTTACCAAAAGTCCGGGCCAATAGTACTTCTCGCTCAGTCTGGCAAGTGTTTGTGAGTAGCCTAGGTAGCCAGACGTGGGTTTGCCACGGCAAGCAAAAACAACGTCGTCTCGCATGTCCCGAGGAACCACCAGGAAGTAAGCACAGTCGTTCGAATGGGTATTCTTTTTGTATAGCATGCTGTCTCGCAGGCAAAACGCTGTCAATGAGCAGGACAGATGGCGTGGTATGGTTGTGTCGTGGCCCTCTAAATGATCGATGATTGGTCTGATTTCTTGATCGTGACGCTGTCG